GGTCCCTGTGGTTTGGAAAGGTTTGGGGTGGGTTCCATGCAAAAGCTGAAAGGCGTTGACAGGTTTGGTTATGCTCACTGCCGGTTTGCGGAAGGTTTCGAACTAAGGGTTCCAATCGGTTCCAAGGGTTCCAATTCAAGCAACAAATCCAGCAAGTTACAGCAAGCTCTTGAACGATTTGAACATCTGAAGCAGTCTCATGATCTCCATCTATTTGGAGCACGATAAGTCTTGGAGCATCTTGCAGCATTTGGAGCTTGCAGCATCTCGCAGCATCTTGCAGCATCTTGCAGCATCTCGCAGCATGTTGCAGCATCTTGCAGCTGTTCTTGTTTCATCGTGCTGAAATTGCACGACGTGAATTTCATCAAGGCAGAAGGAGCTCGAGTGTTGCCACGTAGTTCACTCAATACTTGCCATCGTGTTCGGTCAGCAGTTTACAAAGTTGCAGCAATTCTTTCTCAAATTCAGGTTGGGCACAGATCGAAGTTGAAATGGTCTACTTAGAAGCATCCCAGCCATGTGTTTAGAACAGGCTGTTGCCATTCCATGCCATTTCATGTCTGTCCGCTTGCTCGTTCGTTCGTTCGTTCGCTCCCTCCTTCCCTCCTTCCTTCCCTCCTTCGTTTGTTCGTTCATTCGTTCTTGTTTGTTTGTTTGTTTGCTTGCTTGTTTGTTTGTTGCTCCTATTTTAGTATATTTTAGTGCTTGTGGATATTTTTGGATGGATTGCTCTTCTAGAACGCGCCAGGCACTGGAGTTCTCATGGTCTGGTATTGCTGGGGAATTCGTCACGTACAGTGTGCAGTGGAGGCATGACAGTGACATCCATCTTGTGAACAAATATTTTTTCCCACAGATTTATTCAGAGCACATCATTGCATGCCGAACCGGCCTCAGCTAGCAGGTGTCCTCTGCCCTGAGCTCAAAGAACATGAACAAGTATAAATACAAGCAGTAGCCACAGCCATCAAGCTGAGTGTCATCTTCGGATATGACTTGAAAGGAAATGCGAACCTAGCAGCGAGCAGACTGCAGAGCTAGAGGCCGGAAAATACTCTGCTGGTAGATGCCAGGAATGTTTCAACAATGAATAGAACATCTAGAAACAAAAGGCCTGACTGACTGACCCTCGTGATTGGAAACACGAGCGCGTTTGCTATTCTGATGGATATATAGTCATCCTGAAGTAGATAGAATATCGGAAATTTTCAAAAAGGAATTTTTCAAAAAAAAATAAATAGTTGGAATATTTTCAAAACCCTCAGTTTTTACACGTTTTTCGTCTTTGTTAAGTCATTTTTAGCCAGTTTTGGACACGGGTCTGGGGAAATTTTGAAAAATACAAAAATCAAACAACACCAAAAAATAGATAGAATATTGTTTCAAACCAGGTAGATAGAATATTTTGAGGGAATTGTGAACACCACGCGCAGACCCCACAGCAGCTTGAGACTGTTTTTCCACAGGATATTCCACCATATTCCACCTACCTACCCCTCCAAACCATATTCCAACTACCAGTTTTCGACCTCCCCGGGGGGGGTCGAAATATTCCAACTACCTGTTTTTTTTTAAGTGGCCGACATCCAACATAATTCCAACATAAATCCCGCACCCTCCAAAAAAATATTCTATCTACTTAAGGATCACTATAGATGTATGATGATGTATGATGATGTATGCATGGTACATCGTGGTAACACAGTAGGGAAGTGTAAGACAGAGATGGCGCTTGGAATGCAACACGCCGACGATTGGAGCTCTCCTCAAGACTTTGATGTTGCATAACTACCATATACGCTCCACATATACCTACATACATAATTCTATACAAAAATATGTAGAATATTATATATAAATACATATAGATATGTATATATATAATTTTGGATGTATATGTATAAATATGTATAAATAGATACATACTTATGTATATAATACATATTTAGATAAAGAAAAACCACGTATATATATATATATACATATGTATAGAAATAAATAAATAAATATATATATATGCAAATACATAAACACGCAATTAAATATACAGATGTGTATATATATATTCTATATATATATGTATAGAATACATATATATATATAATAATATACAGACAAATAAGTATACATATACAGATACATATACATATAACATATATATAGATAAATATGATATCAAGAAACGCAATTCAATACCATATATACATAGATAACTATATACATATTAATAACTACATATACATAAAAGTATATACTGTATATACATATATATATATGTATATATATATATTGCTATATTTAGTTAAACACATAGACGTGCATATATATATATATGTATATATATACATTTATGACACATATTTACATATATATAAAACACATACGCACACATATATATATATACACATACTAAAGTACAATATACATATTATATGTATAAATATTTGGGATATATATATATATACAACTATTTTGTATTGATACATATAAATATAAATACATATATATGTATATATGGATTTACATATATAAATATATGATCAATACATATATACGTGTATATATATACATAAATGCGTATATACATATACATATATGTAAATATGTAAATATGTATATATATATACATACATACATACATACATACATACATATATGTATACATATAAAAAAACACACACATATATATATATGTATATATATTATGTATTATACGTATTGAAATATATGTATATAATAGCAAACTAGACAAATAGATAAATATATATATATGTATATATTACATGAATATATTAAGTAAATAGATAAACAAATAAATAGATTCATCATCTGCTAGAGGCATGCTGCCCTGTTTTGGATTCTGATATGCTCAAAATGAAGTCAGATGAAGTCGTGTGATTACCTATCCAGCACACACTGTACTCCACTTGGCAGGGAAGAGAAAACCTTGTCTCGGGTGTCTTGGGCCTCAGACATGATGCTGTGACCTGTGGACGAGCTGGTCCAGCCTCTTCCTCCGGACAGCCCAGCCTCGCACCTGAACTATTTCACGGATCTAAAAAATCTAAGGAGCTGGAGAACGAAAAGAATTCTCAGGCATCTGGCTCAGAAATCTGAATTGTTTAGTTGCACTTTCGCGCCGGTTTTCAGCTGCTTACTGTGAAGTCCCTGTGTATGCACCTGGTCCAGGAAACTGCCAAGAAGTCGGGCGCAATCGAGTTTTTTGCCTCAGGGCAAAGTATATCTTCAAGATACAACTCTATGATGCTCTGTGATACTCTATTTGCACCTACTCAAATTGCTCGGCGAAAACAGATCACCCTATCAGGTGTACATCCTCGCGTGCTTTATTGCATGGTCTGCCGCAAGCATCTGCTATCGAGGCAGGAACGCCAAAGTGAGACATGATATGAAATGTTCTTGAGAGACATTTCATTATATGATCGTTCACAATCATAGCAATCCTTGGCATTCGTTAGCATGTGCTCATGTACTTCACGCTGTTTGTCCTCAACTTCCCAAGATCTGCAATGACTTTTAGAATCTTTCCGATTTTTGCTTCCAGGTACGGGTCATCGCTGCAGTAACTGGTCCAGAAATTGACTTTATTGAGCTCGAGATCTTTGGCTCCTGGACGGCTACAAGCCTTGCTTTCAGTGAATTCAGTCTTGCTTTCATTTTCCATGTCCCCTCGCTTCCCAAGTCCTGGAGTTGCTCCAATCCCACACTCCAACTATTGCAAAACATGGTTTGAGGTTTCGCCCTCTAATCCATGAATCAAAAATAATCAAGATACATAAAGAGGAAGAACAACTCAGCTTTTCCAATCGAACTATAATGCTGTTTGTGTCAATTCAATCACAAAGCTTCACAAAATGGCTTCAAAAGCGTCTGGGCAGATATGATGTGGTTTGGGATGTTTGGCTCGAGGACCCAACTGCATACTGGTTCTCCTGCTCCAAATGAAGATGTAGAGGTTCCCTTATGCTTTCAGAGGAGTTGCAGAGGTCACGCAATGTCATGAACAAGAAATTCTGTCATTCCAGGCCCTTGGCGACCGGGATTTGCTGGGAGGACCTGCAACAGGTTCTTTGACCAACTTTGCAATTTACCAAAGGTGGGTAGCTACGGGGTAGCTTGCGCTGTGGCATGCTCTGGCTGTGTAGGATACCGCGGTGGCTGCTTACTATCTCATTGCCGAGGATATCGATATTGCTTCAGTCTTTCTTTTCAAGCGTGCAAGAAGCCTCGATCAGTTTTCCCATCAGAGTACTTTCGGCCAGTGATTGGCATGCTACGAGATGCTTTGAGATGCTGCTAGGCTTTCTTGCCGCTCCTTTGCAATCATCTCATGCTGAGAGATGCCGTCGATGTGGCAACAGTTACGAGGATCCCACAAAGCCGGCAGATCTTTGTAGGATTCAAACAAGATGCATCAACCCGGCGGATGACAGTTCACGATAGCACCATGCAGTTTACAAACCTGTGAAATTTAAAGCAAGGAATCAGCCTTCGAATCATATTTGTCATGCAGCTGTTCGTAGTTGCTGAACAAGCTGGCGAGCTGCCCAGCCTTGCAGGACCACTTGGAACTTGAAGACCAAGCACCAAAGGAGATGGGTGAGATGGGTCAAGATTGCCCTGATGATTGTGGTAGGTTCATCAAAGTGGATTTCCGAGCTACCCAAAGGGCAAAGACCATCCTGCAAGTGCTCAAATACACATGCAAAAATCATGTCACATCATGTCACCATATCACCACCACCAACAGCTGCAACAACAGTAACATCGTCATAATTGGCAAAAAAATGGTCAATTGGGCAGGTGGCTCCGCTATACATTGAAACGTATATATATATATATATATATCATCACCTCCTTCGGTGGCACCCATCACTGTCGCTCTTCGGCTTCGTTCAGGTTGCAACAATCTCACGGTCCCAGAGTATATTGAATGTTTAGCACCGGGTGATCCTGCTAATATCGAGGCTGAACTTATGCACTGGGGCATCGACTGCAAAGCCTTCCGTTTTGGTTCTGGACATGAAGCCCTTTGCTTCCCAGCGCAATGGACAGCACCGGTGAATCAGTTTCACTACATGTTCTGCCATGAAGACATTAAGGACAGTGAAGGCATTTTCCTCCACACATCGAACCTGTCTCTGGATGATCTTGGCCTCATGCAAATTCTCTACCAGTTTGGATACTGCAGAGCGGCCATCCTTGACAAGGAGGAGATATTACCCCAAGTTTTTCGAGTTCTTTTCCTGGATGTTGTCCAACAACCTACGACAGAGCCAGGACGAATCAAGAAGCCTCTGCCATGGCCAGCACCATCCCACCATGGACGGCTCAATCGACCATTCTTTGACCCTGGCCGACATCTTGAAGGAGACAAAGACTTCCTTATCAGGCTTGGCATCACCATGATTGACATTGATGCGTTTTTCAAGTCTGGGGATGATATTCTATGCAGAGATCCGACTGGTCTTGAATTGCCCGAAACCACCAAACAGGTCATGCTGATCAGCGACACTACTGACCTAGCCCTGTTTGATCGCCTCATCATCTATACAGATGGATCCTCAATTCCGCTACACAGACATCGTCCTGCAGCATGGAACGAGGAGAATGGGAATGGCGACACCTGGGCCTATGTGGTACTGGGTGAAAGATTTGTGGACCAACAACAGGTGGTCGAAGTCATTGGGTGGCTCACGCATCCTGTGCGATACGACCCCCATTGCCCATCCTTTCTTGGATCCACCTACGTTGGATCTCTCGGGGCTGAGCGTGAAGCCATGACCTGGGCCGCCCTTTGGCGGCTTGCACAAAATGTGGATACGCCCACATTGTTTCGGACTGATTCATGGACCACGGCAATGCAAGCCCAGGGCCAAATCGGCACTGCAGATGTCGAAGCTTCCTTCACGAGCTTACGCAGCTGTTTCCAGGCACTTGAAGTTGCTCTACCAAATCGGCTGCAAGTCGAGCATACACCTGGACATTGTGGGGATCCATACAACGACTTCGCTGACTGGCTTGCCAGAGAAGAACGATCTCGCAGCTTTTATGGCAAACGACAAGCGATCTCTTTGGATTTATGGCGACCCTTTCTGCCCTACATGTGGATGCTCTTCAGCCAAACAGATGGACTTCCATCCTGGAGCTCTCAAGGTTTCCATGTTCCTCCTCCTCAGCTACCTTCTCCACTTGCCACACCGGTATGTGAGGAGACCACGCTCATTTCGGACCTGGCTGCCAAGATCGACATCAGTCTGGCAAGCGCGAACATCGGTTCAATGTACAACGGAGAATGGGGACATGCCGGCAAACTTGATTATCTGCGAACTCAATTCAAGCTGCTGTGTCTCAATTTCCTAGGCCTGCAGGAAGCTCGCACGCCAGAGCTCTTTTCCAGAACTGACCGGATCCTTCGGTTTGCCAGTGGAGCACATCATGGACACCACAGCATCGAACTCTGGGTCAATTTGGAACAAGCTTATGCAGTGACTGATGATGGGCCAATTTTCTTTGCACCACACCATTTCGTTGTTGTACACAAAGACCATCGCTGCTTGCTTGTTCATGTGGTCACGGAGTGGGTCGATTTCTGGATCCTTGTAGCACACGCACCACAGAGCGGAGTACCTCTCTCAGAACGACAAATGTGGTGGGATCATTTGATGCAGATTACTGCAGCTTGTCCACAGACGGCTCGCCTTTTTGCCCTCTTGGATGCAAATGCGGGTCCAGGGTCTGCGGACCATGTCTCAGTATTTCGCACCATTGGTGGTCATACTTCGAGTACCCCGTTGCTGAGAACATTCTTGCAGGAAGGGAATCTTTGCCTACCCTGCACATCATCCTGCCATGAGGGAACACACACCACATGGATCACTCCCGATGGACTCTCTGAACACATGATCGACTACATCGCGATCCCCCAAAACTGCTTGAGTAATTGTTCGATCAGCAGAGTCCTTGACGAGTTTGACTTGGGCAACAGCCACCATGACCACTCAGCCATTGCTCTTCAACTTCAATGGCAAGAACTACGCCAATCACACAGTGCAAAGAAAGACAGCTCCAAACCCCACATTGACTTCAGCATTGTGCAGAACAGCCATGTGGAGCAAGCCCTAGGCGACTATGTAGTGCCTGCTTGGACGGAGAACATTGAAGATCAGGTTTCTCAATTCAATGGTCATCTTCTGGCCCGGCTGCAGAACCTGTGCCCTCATGCCAAGCACAGACCCAAGAAGCCATGTATTGATGAAGCCACCTGGAATCTTCGCACTCAGAAGCTCATTGCCAGGCGAGGGCTCAGACAGCTAGCCCGCCATCATCGACTTGAGCTTCTACGGGCATGTTTTCAATCCTGGACTTCACAGCCGGGCTATGACAAGGATCGCTTTTGGCATTATGGTCGCTGGCTTCAGTGTGCGAATGTCAAGCTTTTGGCAAGGCATCACACGTCGGCTGCACAACTTAAGGCAAAGCTGCGTGCAAGGAAGACAGCCTATCTCAAACAAGCCTTTGAGAACCTGCCTACAGATGCACCTGCTTCCTCAATTCTTCATGAACTCAAGAAGATTGTTGGCTCGACCAACCTGAAGGCTATCAAGCAGCAGACCCTCCCATTGATCAAGGATTCCACTGGGCAACCTTGTATCTCTCCATCCCATGCTTTGGATACCTGGATTCAGTTTTTCCAGAACATGGAAGGAGGTCGAAGAGTTGACAAACAAGAACAACATCAACTTTGGGTACAGAACCTTAAGAAGTTCCAGGCGACCTCTCTCGACCTGAAAATCACGGATGTTCCATCCTTAGTCGAGCTTGAAGCTGCTTTTAGGCATGTCAAGCCCCAGAAGGCCACGGGCCCCGACTTGATCGATGCCAAAATTTGTGCGAGCTCTCCGACCATCGTGGCGCGCAAGACCTACAGCCAATTACTCAAGCTCTACACCCACGGCCAGGAAAGTCTCTTGCACAAGGGCGGCAGACTTCAACCCATCTGGAAACAGAAAGGCCCCAGAGATGCCTGTTCTGCATACCGCAGCGTGCTCATTTCATCGCATGTGGGCAAATCTTTGCATCGGTGCCTACTTTTGCACTCCGCTGATGTTTTCGAGCACTATTTGCAGCTGCAGCAGACAGGCGGCATGCGAGGGATCTCCGTCACACTTGGTGTCCATCAGGCGAGGGCGTATCTGAGAACACGCCTCAGTCAGCACCAGTGTGTCGGCCTTCTGTTCTTAGATCTGACGGAAGCATTTTATCGCATCGTTCGTCAACTTGCTCTTGGTGGCCTTCCGGATGACGAAGCCATTGCGGCCGTTGGGAACCGCCTGCAGCTTGGGCCTGATCTTCTTCATGCTCTACACCAACATCTGGATGATCGACCAGCTGTAGTGCAAGCGGGCCTTTCCCCGCAACTCCAGAAAGTCCTTCAAGCGCTACACACGGACACACACTTTTATGTGGGTGTCCAACAGGATGCATGCAGGACCACCCTTGGAACGAGACCGGGAGATTGCTTTGCTGATATTGTTTTCTCCTTTCTTTGGGCCCGATTGTTGCATCGTTTGGAGCAGATCATGCAGGAGTCCAACATCCTTGATGGCTTTCCTGATGAAGAAGGTTTGAGAATTCCGGACGCTGAAGCAGCAGTCTGCGGCACCAAGTCATTTTTAGGGCCCACTTGGATGGATGACACCTGCATTGCCTTTGCGAAGGATTCTCCTTCATCCTTGGAGCGAGCAGCCGGACAAGTTGGAGGAGCTCTCTTGGGACTATGTGAAGAATTTGCAACGAGTCCAAATTTAGCAAAAGGGAAGACGGAGCTCATGCTGGTTTTCCAGGGCAAAGGAGCCAACAGTGCCAAGCTCAAGTACTATGGACCTTGCTCCCCACAGACTTTTCCGATCATCCTGGAAGGGGGCGTGAAACATCTTAGTGTTGTGAGCTCATACACTCACCTGGGCTGCACCATTCATCATCGAGGTGATCTTCGCCGTGAGGTTCGTAGACGCCTCAGCATCGCCCACGCAGCCTTCAATCGTCATAGACGACTTTTATTCCAAAATCGATGTCTTGACCTCACTCGAAGGCGCGAGTTGTTCCGCACCCTGATTCTGAGCAAGCTCCTTTACGGGGCAGAATCCTGGACACTTCGGGATGGTAAAGACAAACATTATCTGCACAGTGCCATGATGAGGTTGTACAACCGACTCCTACCTGTGCAGTCCAAACCAAGAAGCGATGCCACCATCATGGCAGAAACAGGCCTCCCTGATCCAGCAGTTCTCTTGAGGATTTGCCGACTACGTCATCTCGGCCAACTCTACAGAACCGGCAGAAGCACCTCCTGGGGGCTTTTCAATGATGATCAAGCGTGGCAAGATTTGATTTGGAGTGACCTGTTTTGGATGTGGCAGCAGCTGAAAAACTCTTCAAAGCTCCCGGACCCGAAACAAGGCTTTCAGCAATGGGAGTACCTCATGAAGCACCATCCAGGCTTTTGGAAGCGATTAATTCGCCGTGCAGGAGACCACGATGGTGGACAAAAGCGCAATGAGCATGTCGTGGCTGGTTTTCATGGCGAGTTTTTGGAGACCCTGCATTCCCATGGACGCCTTTGGCATGATGCTCCCAGACCAGAAGCTGCCAGTGTTGAACAGGTCCATGCATGCATGATGTGTGAGAAACGCTTTCTTAGCAGAGGAGGATGCGGAGCTCATCTTTTTCGTGCACATGGCCATGTTAACCCTGTGAGGCATTTATTCGCCACTTCACAATGCGGCGCATGTATGAAGGAGTACCACACGTTTGCAAAGTTGAAAACACACCTCCTCCAGGTGACAACCTGTCGCCAGACCTTGCAGGCCAATCGTCTTCGCTGGCAACCTGCACCTGGTGCTGGCTCGCAAATCAATGCGAGCATGGAAGCAACCCATGATGGCCTTCTTCCACCCTTGAAAGTACATGGACCTTTGCCTGAGCTACCTCCAGGACGAGCCGATGAGGACTTCGACCAGGACCTCTTGGAACAGATCTTCCTGGACATTTTGGACGCCATGACCATCGAAGAGTGCGAGATGATGATTCGGAATGCCACTCACGCGAGGGCTATTTCCTGGTACACCTTTCAGGCGACCTTAACCAGATTCTTGGACATTTTCATGGAAGAAGATGCTGCTGTCCTTCATGTCCCTGGAGATTCACTACGAGGACTTCTTCAGAAGCTGATGGATTCCAATGCCTGGCCATTTCTGGCCGCCGATGGTCGTGACAAGAACTCACCATGGCATCAAGAGATTGAGATCCAAGAGCAGCATTGCCTTCGAGAAATTGAGGAGCAACGCAATAGAGCACCTGTATTGCGTCCGGCAAGAGGATTTGCAAGAGAGCGCTACATCCTTCACCTTTTTGCAGGAAGACGCCGACAGGGGGATTTCCAGTTTTTTGTCGATGGCCTCACCGATTTACATGGTACCTTTTTCATTCAGGTCATTTCGGTGGACATCGTCATTTACAGACGTTGGGGAGACCTCTCCAACTCAGACACGCGCCGCTTTTGGATCTCAGCGATTTTGGATCACCAGATCGTGGCATTGCTTGGAGGCCCACCATGCGAGACATGGTCTCGCGCAAGGGGCCGTCAACTTTCACCTGAAGATCCTCTACAGCGATCTGGACCGCGTGTTGTGCGAACCCTTGAAGAGGTATGGGGCTTAAGTTCACTTTCCTTAAGAGAGCTTGCCCAGGTTACCATCGGGAACGTCCTCATGGGCTTTCAGCTTGTGGCTATGGCAGCGCTGGCATGCACTGGAGGCATAGCTGTGGTTGAACACCCTGCAGAATCTCCCAACCCAGAAGAGGCTTCTATCTGGCGAACTCCCATTATGCAATTGCTGCTCGCGCTTCCTGAATGTGAGTCCTTCACACTTGCCCAAGGCTTGTGGGGAGCCCAATCGTCGAAACCGACGACTTTGGGTGTGCTTAACGCACCCCAATTAAAATTGGAACTGCACAAGGGCCGCATCACCACGGAGGTGCCCAAAGGCAGCTCAATTGGGAAAGACACCTCAGGAAATTGGGCTACTGCCCGCTTGAAGGAATATCCTCCTGGCCTTTGTCTTGCACTTGCCAGAGGTTTCCTCAAGGCGATAGGTGATCTCCCGGAAGACCCTGCTCAGCAGGTCTCCCTGCGAAACCGTGAAATCTTTGGGCCTCTGGTCTGCACCAGCTACGGCCATGCCTATGGACCAGACTTCGCAGGTTGAGTGTTTTTCCTTCATCTTCCTTGTTTTATTTAGTTTATTCTGGGGAAGGACCCAGATGAATTTGCAGAGACATGCAAGGGCCGCAGCGGAGATCGCTTCTGTGAGTCAGTGCCAAAAAATATGTATATATATATGTATATATATGTATATATATATATATGTATATATATATGTATATATATATATGTATATATATATATGTAAATTTGCACATATATTTGTTGTTTTGATCAGAATCACGTGAAAAAGTCGTCACGTGTAGATTCACGGCTGACATTGCACACATCAGCAGCAACTGTCTCTTGCGCGCTCGTCTGCCATGCATGTCCACTTACATATGTGGGTGCATATCTGTGGTGTGTGGGAAATACCTGCTTGCAAGTCCCAGTTTGAGAAACAAGCCAGCGTGTACGGCAACCGGCGCCGAAGCAAGACTTTTTAGCCTTTTACTGACACGAGAATAACACGCAAGTTCCATGCACTTCGTAGACGTATAAATATGGCAAATGATGCAAATGGTGCTTTTCAAGCTGTACCATATTTCCAAGTTCCGCTTATCTAGTCAATGGCGTCCATGCAGTGACATCTCCCAGCCTGGCGCATGAAACCACATTTCATACTTTTTCATGCACTTCTTCCATAGTTCAGCTGTCAAGTTTGGAGACTCCGGTTCTGGCGACACATGCATGACATCCTTCCATGTCAAAGTTGCAATCTCACGGACAGTTCTGGTGTGCGCATGTGCTTGCTTGGTTTTTTCTATGTAACAGAAAACATGAGAGACACAGAAAACGACGATAAAAGATGAGAAACCTTGAGCCTGAGGAGGCTTCTGAGCAAGTCAGCCATCAAATGAGCGAGGCGGAAGGCCAGGCCACGATGTTCTGCTGGCGAATGGCTACCAACTTTCTTTTGACAGCAAAACAGCATGCCGAGATTGCGGTTTTCATGTGTTTTGATGGCAAGCCGATAGAGAAATGAAGGTACAAGCCCTGACAAAGAACTTCAAGAACAGGAAGACCCTTGGTTTCCACACCTTTTTCTTCTTCCGCAGATCAGCTCTTACTGGTCCGAATCATGTGTTCTATATTTCTACACGTATATATATATATATACATACACGTATATGTATATGTATATAATATATATATACACATACACGTATATGTATATGTATATGTATATGTATATGTATATGTATATGTATAGGTATAGGTATAGGTATAGGTATATATAATATATATACATACATATACATACCTACATCATACATGTAGTCATACAATGTCAAGATACATGCACTTGCACCTGTGCACGTGAATGAAATTATATGTGTACGTCTACGTGTCTGTCTCCATGTATGTGTCTGTATACGTGTATATTGACTGACACACACACAAACACAAACACACACACATGCATTTCCATACTAGATACAACTTAGTACACCGATTCCAACAGCGCTTTTTCTGTGGCTTGCTGGTGGCATCTGTGTGAAACGATCTGAAATTTGCATGTGACGCACTGAGGAAACAATCGACGGGGCTGACGACGGAGATGACTGCAGCAGCGACAGTGAAAGCGAGACAGAGGACCGAGCTTCAAACAATCGACGCCATCGACGCCAAACATGGAAAACATACGGCCTTGAACAGAAAGTATTTTACACGCTAGGCACAGCCAGACGCAACAAATTCGAAGAACCATGGATTCATGAACTCGAAAGGATGAATATCCACCCAAGAATGAAGAATACCAGACATCAGCCATGACACAGGACGATGATGTTGAAGCAACTGATCGTGCTGTGATTTGCTCAGTCACGCGCACTTTGCGTGTAAAACCATGAGAACTCTGCACGACACATTCACTATCATTCACTCCACTTCTACTGAACTTTTATAAGGATGGGGTCGTCCCGGAAATCCAGATGGCCGACAATCCTGAGGAGAATTCCTTGGCATCTTGCCCTTAAAACACTGGTGATGCAAAGTGATGCAAAGTGATTCAGATCTTCTGCAGGACAGAGCAGATGGCAGTCACGACGAAGATGGCCGAAGCGGCCAAGACGGAGACGATGGAGACGATGGAGATAATGGCCGTGCAGATGCAGATGCTGAGCATGCTTGGGAAGTTTTTCTACAGGCCGAAGGTGCCTTGTCGAGAGACATTCGTGCTGATGTTCTCTCCGTAGGTGACATTTGCATACATTTGCATGAATTGTATTGAATTGTGTTCTGTTACGTTCTGTTGTCTTGTTTGCTGTCTTGTTTGCTGTCTTGTTTCCACTTGTTTCCTGTGAGAATCTGGTACCTCTTTACCTCCCAGGTGAGGCTGAAGATGTACAGGATCCTGAGAGAGCGGATAGAGGTGAGTCGGTGGAGGCGCATCCTGCATCCTCATTGTGTGAGAAGTGCTTGTTGGCTTCACACATTTGGCGCATTTGGTAACTTGATCTAACTTGATCTAACTTGATCTAACTTGATCTAACTTGATAGTCTTGGCTGAACTTTGCGGATTTCCGTCAATTTCTATGGCTTTTCTTTGCTTTTGTTTGATGTGCAAATCCGTGAGATTGACTCATACGAGGCCGATGAGCTTCCCAATCAACAGCTGCCAAGTCCAGAAATTCAGGTGGCATTTGACGTGGAACACTGTCCAGCTGTCCAGCAGCAGCTGTATATAGCTGTATCACGTCTTACAAAGCCTTATTATTTCACAGTCTTTTCGTGTCTTTTCCATAGTCGTACCTTATTGACTTATTGCACATCCTACTTTCTGTCACTGTGACACTTTGTGTGCAGGAATACATTGTGGCAACCACAGCTGTTGTTCGGTCTGCCCCATCATTTTCAGCTTCAAGCGTAGGCTCGGTGCGGCACGGGATCTTTGGGGATTGCAATTGCAGATGTTTGATGCGCAAGCTGTTGAGCGCGGCATTGTGACAGGCCAGCTGGAATGCGGGACGATTGTGTGTGGCAGACATTTGATTGCACTGGTTTGAAACGGTTTGTACAGCGGTTCCGGGCTGTCCCTGAAAAGTAAAGCTGTTGACACATTGACAACTTCCAGTCGCGTGGACTGCCATTTGTGAAAACCATTCAACTTTGCATACGCTTGGATTGAGGTTTGGAAGAGGACTGGCTAAGCTTGAGGCAATCAGATAATGAGCAATGTGCGTACATTGATGGCTGGGTTTGGCTGCACGATCTTGAAAATCCCTCAGAGACAAAGGACGTCGAGTCTGCTTCACCTGAAGTTGGACGTTTGCTTGGAGGTGTCACGTACAAAGTCGTGGAATCGGCACCTGTTTATTCTGTCCCATCAAGACTTCAAAGTGAAGTATCCAGGCTTTCACCTGGCGGGAGCGTCACTGGATTTCCAGCCACTCATCATTGGATACGCTTGGACGCTACGGAGGAGTTGAACTTCATTTCACATTGGGTCTTTCAGCACCCTTCTGCTCCTGCATTGCGCGCTGATTGGTGCAAGTTGAATGTATTGAAAAAGAGGTCTGGCATTTTGAAGGTCACGTGGCCCGGCTTGAAATCTTTATCTTCGATTACACCTGAGTTTATCTTGTACAGCCTGGAGTGGAGTTTTCCCCCCGGTAGAGGTGGTTGTGGTCTGGTACTTGCTCCAGAAACTCTGGCAAGCAATTTTATCCTGCGCATTTTGGTTTCCATTTTATGATGTTACCCGTGCAAGCTTTGTTGATACTTTCAAGCACTTTGGTTTTGCAGCCATGGGGTGTAATGACCAATGGGAAATTTTGAGTCCCGAGGAATGCACAGTGGTCCTTGGTGAGGGAAGACCAGAGAAGCCCCTTTTCAGAGTCTGCAGATACCTCAGTCAAGCCAAGCCCATGTGCAATGTTAGAGACATATCAGGTTCTGCCAAAAGTACTTGTTTCTGGATAGTATATAAGTTACTCTTGAAAAATCCACAGCTAAGGTGCCTATGTCAATGCTGAGGACACACTAGAAGTCAGGGGCGACTGGCAAGAGGGGACTCTTGAAACTGAGCTTGACTTGGAGCAGAATTCTGAGTGCACAAAGGTCTCGGGAACAGGAGAGCAGCTACCCACAATCTCAGAGCCACAACTGGATTTTGCAGAGGCTCAGCCCCAGGAAGATCAAAGTCCGAACCAAGACGATCAGACCAGCTTGACTGCAGAGCCTGAAGCCCACTCGGCACGTCATTTTGAGGAACCAGACCCAGCACTTGTGGAGCCAACAGCTTCAATGCCCATAGACACTCAGTCTCCCCAGTCTTCTGCACAGCCTCGGTTTGAATCGATGCCTTTGGACGATTTGGCCGAGCCTTCCCAGAACACTGAAGAGACGCCCAAAGGGCAACGTGGGCGTGCAGGGCCTGAGGAATCTGATGAGAAATTCGAGAAATTAAACTCTCCTGTGGCTGAGTCGGTTGAGTCGGCTGGGCCGGGTTTGTACGAGGTTGTTCACAAGAACGGCGTCCTTGTACGTGCAGCTCCAAGCTGCCAGGCCCCAGTGCTTGGACGTTTGGCTCTCGGGCAGCAGGTTTGCGGAAGGACACAAGGAGACTGGCTCCAGCTGGATTTGAAGCCCGATTTAGTGCTTGATGTGATTGATCCAACATTTAAATACCCGGAACAACAAGCAGCTTGGGTCCTGGTAGATGGGAAAGAGATTGGTTTGGGAATACTGCTTGATTGCAGCGCAGCATCCCAAGCAGAGTCAGCTGAGCGGAAAAACGATGACAGCTTGGAGAAAAGTGCAGCCTCTCCAGAGGCAGAACCCTCGAGCAAAGAGACCACTGAGACCACTGAGACTAAAGAGACCAAAGAGACGAGTGTATCTTCACGAGAACAGAAGGTGAAAGCTGCGAAGGCGACAAAGCATGCATCCATGTTGGCGGAACGAGTTGTAGAGCCAGTGGAATACGTGGTACTGTCTCCAACACCTTTGCACAGTGAGCCAAAATTTCAGTCTGAAGAGATTGGAGAGCTTCAAGAAGGCGATTCACTCCTCGGATATCCAGGGAGCTTGTCCTGGGTTCGGTTGGCAAGACCAAGCGAGCCAAATGAAGAGACATGGGCTCCGATCAAATCAGCGAAGGGAGTTTTCCTGAGTCCCAAATGGTCGCGACTAGAATCAGAGGGTGTTTTCAGCGAAGCCCTTGAAGTGAGTTGGCAAGGCCTTGTTGCTCGAAAACCCTATGTTGCTGCCTATAGCATCGAATGGCGACTTACTCCAGGGGAAGAGCTTCCAATCGGAGCCGGGCAGGAAACAGACAGGGAAGGCTTCAAAAAGACTGGCTATGCTTTGAGTCTCAAACCTCGTGCTTTGGTGGATTTAGGCAGCTCAGGCTCAGGTTACAACATGTTGCAACTGTCATAGGTGTTGTGAATTCTCATCAATACATTCTCATCAAATCTTCGTCAAACACATGTCAAACAGATGTCTCGGGAACCAGCCTTTCACCATTTGGGGAGCCTCTTGCCTCTTATCGCGGAGACTCTGTGCATTTCAAAACGAGCTGACCTGTGCATACCCTTGCAACCTAGCTTGGTCCTTACTGGTACTGGTACTTGCTCGGACGGTTTGAAAGTGGAGTGAAGCACAGAACTTCTTTCAGCGCTAGGAAATGGTCCAGCCTCAGCAGCCTCAGCAGCAACAAAATCAACAGCAGCAGCAACAAAAACAGCAACAGCAACAAGAGAAAGAACAAGAAGAAGAAAACGAAGAAGAAGAAGAAGAAGAAGGATAATAATAATAATAGGAAGAAGAAGAAACAGAAGAAACAGAAGATTGAAGAAGCAGGAGGAGGAGGAGGAGAAGAAGAAGAAGAAGAAACAGAAGCAGAAAGCGGAAGAAGAAGACGAGAATAAGAACAACAAAAAGAAACACATTTAGTTCCTGCAATTTTTGCACCAGGTTTCAGGTTTGTATGAGATTCAGGTAAGAGTTCTATTTTCCAAGGTTCCAGAACGAACCTTAATCCCGCCCTGTCGACAGTTTGAGCGCCTTCCATGTGGTGTGTCCGGAATATGTCTCGTGTTGCTTCCTGGAGGTCTTCTAATGTCTTTTGCTCTAAAGAGGAAACTCTCGGACCTTCAACTGTAGTAGGGTTCGCTCCTGGGCTTCTTGGTTCTACAACGGTTTACCCATTTTGCACGGGTTTGCCTGTAACATCCTGGAATTGGTGGCAGGGTGGCAGTTTCCCACCAAGGCGTACTATTACATGGCTTACCGCCGGGTGCTGCTGTTCAGCTACGGGCTGGTGTGCGGGTGGCGTCTCAAAGTGCAGGTGAAGCAGACTTCAGACTCCTGGGGAATTGGCAAGACTTCACCACAGGCAGCCCTATCCCCCAAGAGGACGAGAGGGAAGCCGCTCGTCAGATTGACCCATTTGGAGCAAGAAGAGCAGGATGTGAGAGCAGCCAATGTCGAGGATATGTTGCTGATTTGGATGCAATGGCGTCAGTTGGTGCAAATGCCAATTTTCTGGTCATGAAAGCCATTTGTTTGAGGTGCGGCAAATCCTTTGATGCACATGAGCGGTTTGACAATCTCAGCGCAAAACCCTTGAAGCCAAAGAGCACAAAGAGCTCCAAGCCAGAGCGAGAAACTCAAACACCACAAATCCAACCTCACACTACCAGCTCGCCAAAAACTTTTGTCGCCTGGCCCTTGGAACAGCACATCCGAACAAAATCTGGACCAAACATGACAAAACAGAACACTTAGGTCCTTCACCCCATGATTTTTGTCCGCGATAGAGCCAGCGTCAAGGGTAGGACCAGCCACAGATTTGCTGTGAATGGTACCATTGATGGAATGGAGAAAACATAGAAATATTCTCTGCAACTCTTGATCAGGACTTTGGGCGTGGTGAAGCAGGGTGAGCACGTCCAGGGATGGCCAATTTCAGGCAAATGCGGACCAGTTGCCATCTGCTTTTCTGCAAAAACAAGAGCATGCCATACCATGACCATGCTCTACTTGTAGCATCTCGTTTTTAGCATGCCTGCAAAAAGTGATGTAGCAGACCTGGAATGCAAAAGGCCGCCCAATGTCAAAGCAGAAAGGTTGGCTGCGACTAAGCTCAAAGAGTTCTTTTGCTGGAGCGCCAGAGGACCAGGACGCGTACATTTCAAAGTGTTTGTTGGAAGAGGTCTTACGAGGTCCGTGGTACTCGTATATTGAACAGTTGCAGGATGGCTGGGTGTTGATTCATGGAGCAGAGGTTGGGTGTGAGGCCAAGTTTTCAAGCAGGGCAATTAGCATCATTTGGGCGCATTTCTTTCAGCTTTCTTCTCTTCAGTGATGAAGCTTTAATTGTATCATTTTGTATCTGCTTGGTTTGGTACACCAGTCATCTTAGGTTGCTCCCGTCGGCCAAGCAACATCCAAGAAGTGATGACATCTAATCCAATTAACAATTCAGATCCAGACCGCCATTGTACCGATGCGCTTTGTGTGAATTCATGACAATGGGAGCTATGGCGATGTTGGGAATGCTTGTGGAATTTCTGAACCCTTTGGGACTGCTGTTTGCTCACAGTTCTGACAAGAATTCTTTAGATCAGGATCTGGCACAGATTGGCACTGGTATCTCTGGACATATATTCCAACTTCCAACTATTTCTTAATCTCGCAGTGATTCAACACGTGGCATGCCCTTACAGACGCAAGATGGAGAAAGGTTGGGACAATTGCTGGAAGAAGTGGAGGAGATTCTGCTGACAGGGAAATTGAAATTGAGTCCGTATCGTGTCTACATAATGATTAGCAGTGCTTCATGATTTATGATGATTTAAACCGTATAGACACAAAGGGATCTACAAAGAATTTCATCATAATTCATCCAGTCGATGCTTCCTATGCTTCCATGAATTTCAGGATGCAGCGTTCGCTGAAGGTGCAGCTCATGGCTCATGGCCACTAGCAATGACATAATGAACATGGCGTGGAATTCTGCGCTTTCCCTCATCTCATCATTTCCAGGCGCCGTTGCGTCACAGGACATTCTTTAGCCGATGTGTATTTGTGGATCGGTGGGAGCACAAAGCACAAAGAATCCTTTGACACCCAATCAAAGCTTTTGTCCAGGACGTGCTTCACTGCGAAGAAGCAGCAAGAGAGAGCAGGTAGCAAAGATGGTGATTGAAGGAGTAAAATGAGCGAAGATGAACAAACAATAACGCACACGCACACATGATTATTACATAAACAGAAACAAACAATATTTGGTTTATTTTGCTTTACGATGCCCTTGAGTTGCAGCTGTCACACCTCTTTGGCACTCCTGGAAAGGTCTGTTCTCAGCGAGCCGCTGGTGTTCAGCGTTGCTGTGCAAGTCCCCGTCCAAGAAATGCCCCGAGCAGATGCAAAGACTGTGCCGCCAGCTACGCTTGCATTCCTTTGGATGGCTTGCGGGACTCCTGGGAAGATAAAAAAAATATGGTCTGAAGAGAGCAACAAAAGACTGGAGCAGAATATTGACGGCTGAGCTTGGATTCTAAAGACCACTGGAATTGATTGAAGACCAATGAAGTTTGCAGCTTTTGCTTGCCAGGTGGGGCATCTTGCACCAGGTTCATTGGTGCAAGGATTTTCTGCTAACAACTGGATTAAAATCCTTTCAGTGCTTGGCCCAGTCAATATCATTCAATATCTTCGACACTACCCTTTAAATTTTAGGAAGCGAATGATCATGCACTGTACCTGGCTAAGGCTGAAGGAAGTGTCCAAGTGGCAGAGAAATGGGTACCGCCTCCGCCATCATTCAGCTCAGAAGCATTCATTTTGGAATGCGCAAAGCTGTGTTTCAATGTCTTTCATCTTACAGACCCGTAAAGACTTTCACAGCAGATGACCTCGTCGGAGAATTGAACGCAATTCCGCAGGATGCGTTATGATAGCTGACGGCCCTTGAATTCTTCTGGTGATATTGAATCAAGTGTCCCTAGTCCTTTGGTCTTTGCTCCTATCCATGCTTCTGTGCTATCTCCACAACGTTTTGACGTTAGCATTCCTTTTTGCCTGGCCAGCGCTGACTGTCGAGCATTAAGTCTGGCAAAAAACATAAATAGCCAGAAATCGAACACAAAAAACATCCTCCAGTTTATATTCTTGCGCTGGCTGTGCAGCGATGCTTTGTGAGGATCTCACAAGGGAAGAGCGACGCACGCACACACACACATGCACACACAGACGGACACGTACACATGAATTGATCTAGCGGCGGACAAGTTGGAAATGTCGTTATGGACAATTTTGCTGACTCTGAAAGAATGAATTTAGACTTGCTCTTGCACGCTCTTGCAGTCTTGTGTCTCACCAGTATGAAGCACGTAAGTGTCTGTGCACAAGCACACGCCGCGCCACCAGTTGCGCGTGCTCCCTCAACCTATCCCTGATTGAGTTTCAAGTGAGCTTGTTCCATGTTCCATGCGTTTTGGGCTCAAATGTAGATCCACGACACTTTCAACTAGCGGGTTTCATCAAAGTTCTGGAACGAGAGGAGAGGTGCAGCCTGTGGGCATTGAGTTTGTGCTTGCCACCTCGACCATGATTTATCGTCTTCTACTGTCGCTGCTGTGTTGCAACTCCTCCGTCATTCCTATTGTGCAGATGGGCTTTCATTCCCCTCCGTCTCTAGATTTTATGTAAGCTTGTCCTCCGCCTCCCTCCTTCCCTCCTTCCCTCCTTCCCTGCTTCCTGCCTTCCTTCCTTCCCTGCCTCCCTCCCTTCGTTCCTTCCTTGCTTCCTTCCTTCCTTTCTTCACCAAGACACGCCACCGCCAGCTGCCTTGCAAGCCGCGTCTTCGTCACTCTATCGGGAGCTTGCCAGGTCTCTGGATTCTTCAGGGCCGAACACTATGCCAGATAAAATGTCAACAGAATGCCAGTTAAAATGTCAGATAGAATGTCTATATTTGTCAAAGGAAGTTTGGTTGGAAAGCTTCCGAGTTACGGACGATTGTCATGGTTAGCATTCCCACCATCATGTCAACCACATCATCATGTCAACTACCCATCATGAATCAAGCAGTTGGAATTCGGAAGCGAGTGAATTCACGGGTGAAAACTTCGGCTGCGAAACCCAGTGTTTTTTCCGGGGAAAGTGGCCTCCGTGGTTGCCGAAGTAGGGTCTCCGTTTCCGCGGGGGCCTCGATCTGGGAAAGCCGTCGACGAAAAGTGCACTGGACTGTAGCAAGAGCTCGACTTGCACTTCAAAATGTTAAAAAACTGACGGCGCCGGAGCACTTTTGGAAGATGAGGTCGGCAAAAAGTGTACAGGACTGTGGCGAAAGCTCGGTTTCACATAAAAACGGTTGCAAACTGAGGTTGCTAAACGCACTGTAACAGCTGCGCGAAAGGTGGCTCTTGACC